CTGAATGCATTTTCAGGGAAATACCGAGGTTAAATCCGATTAAAATAAAAAGGTGTCAGACTAACGATTTGCGCACATTTAATGAATAAAAATAATCATGGATTTTGAAACCTAATTTATCTTCTAGTAGTAATTGATTTGCATTGCGGATTTCTCAATCACATCTACAGTGATCAGACATAACCTGGATCGGACATATTACTGAATTATCTACATGCAGATAGAAGAAAATATCTGCAGAAGTGATGTAAAGCGTTACTTGGGGAAGACAATTATTAAAAATAAGTGATAAAAAAATTAACCTTTCATTTTCACTCCATTTTATATACATAACACCTATATATCTCAGCACCGTGAACGCGAATTGGGACATATAATTTTGTTTCTTATAGGATGCCCCTCCACTATGACTGGTGGTTAGATTGGTTTCGCTTCAAATATAAAAAAAACTGTGGCAATGTAGTGATTTTCACGGATAAAGGAGCAGGAAGAGGGAAAAAAACGGCGATAAATAATCTCTTGGAAAAGTAGAGGAAGTGGTCGAAATATAATTCGTCCCATTCCCGGGTACATGTAGTACTATTCCAACCATGCTGAGTGTGCATGGCGATTTTAAATATTTTTTTTTTATACAAACGAGTCTCAGTGTAATATTGGAGACAAGCAACAATTCTTTGCTGATTACTTGATTTTTTTTCAACAATAAACATATGCGCAGATTTTTTTAATGCAGTATACAATAATATAATTCAAAATTAAAAGATTAAAACGCATGTCTTACGTTACCCCCCCCCCCCCACCCTCCCAAGGCAAAATAGAAGTGAGAGCGATATAGAACATGAGCATTAAAAATACACTGTATAATTTTGCATAAAGGAAAAGATACATACCTGAAAGAAAAAAAATCTAAATCCAAATACGTGTGATATCAATATTAACTAGCAGACTATGACATACATGGTAATATAACTAGAAAAACTCGAATTTAGGGCTACATTCTATATATATTCAACTTTCTAATCAAATCCATGTTACTTGCAACCCCCCCCCCCCTTTTCTTTAAAACTTCAAGAATTCTGCAAGACATATATTTCATTGTCAAAATGCACGAAAAATCGGGGTTCGTCACATAGACAAAAACATACGTTTCAACTTTGATAATTCTATTTCGTTACAATAGGCCCAGATTCTTGTTTAGAAAAAGATTTAACGATAATTGCGCCGGGCTTCACTTTATATTTATCCAGTCACAGAATTTGAACTTTTCAGAATTTATTACATGTATATCAGATAATAATTATGTCAAATAATGCAGTGACATATGTGTAGAGTAATACATACTTTTAAAACTACGTGTTTAGATAGAGAACTATTGTAACGCTCGGGTGTACAAAAGTAAGCAGTTAATGTTGAATGTTCAATAGCAAAGGACTTTTTACGATGTTATGACGTTACATTACAAATAATGACGTTCCTAATGTAAATTTCATTCAAAACAATGCCATACTGTCAAATCTCTTCTTGAAAAAGTATTATAGATATCTAAAAAAGGAAAACAGTTATGAAAAGCTACAAGTCTACACCATCTTTATTAAAATTCTCATTGATTTTTTAGTTAAGGCGTATTTCGATGGTTCGTGGCTTTAGCTCTTTGGACTTTTAACAGAAAATTAAGTTTGATAATTTATCAAAACCTCTGATAAACGTAAACTATTATTATCTATTGCATACAAATAGACTGTCTGACGCAACGACTTGCACTACACATGTACCATAACGGCATCACGTGACTTCTATTAATAGTGAAATTTTCCTTAATAAAAAAGATAACATAATAACACTACCTCGGAGTTTAATAATTGCGTTGAGTAAATAATGTAATTATAAAACATAAATTTTGCCAAAAAGTGCTGCTAGAGTCCCACTGTTCTGTCAGTAAAATAATTATTCCACACCCTCTCACGAAACCTTACCCCATGTTTTGATTTTTTCATTTGAGCTAAGATTTTTCGTTAAACCATGCTTTACTCGGGATTCTAGCAGCATTTACCAAGTACTGTTAAATCACATATTTTCGTGGGGTCAAATTTTCGTGGTTTTAGTAAAAACTCTTGGTTCGTGGGGATTTGAATTCGTGGATGAAGAATAGTTGAGTAGTTATGTATGTAATAGTTTACAGTTCATGGTGGACATGAATTCGTGGGTCGGATCATACCTCGAAAACAACAAAAATTAAACCCCCACGAAAATTTGTGATTTCACAGTATTTTAGGAGGCAAACTTTCCAATTTTATGTTTTGAAATATACAGCTTATTGTTGTTCTGTTGCATTATTTTTGTCACCAATTTCAGGGGAAGGCCGACCGGGATACGTATATAGCTGACTGTCTTCGAAAGAGAACATAATCGATGAAAATAAATTAGCATACCTGCTTTAGTAACTGAACTCCATATGAATTTCACAAAATATTCACTTTTGGGTAATTCAATAATAAGAATCGATTTCATTTTAAATACATTTTTTGATCAAGAATGTAACTTTGATTATGTTCATGACAAAGAGCTGTGTTGGCTTATTCCTGAATTATTTTTGATATTTGTTTTTAAACTCCACTTTACGTATCCTTGTACATGTTGACTTAGACAAATTCTCTTTACACGACATGATAAATTCCAGAGTTACTTGATGTACACATATTACGTCATGAGTGGGAGATTTTAATCAAAATGACAGATACAGCAGAACAAAAATTTACGTCATCTCTCCTACTATGACGTGATAATATTGCACTGATTTAGTCAAGGTATAATATTTTGTATGCTTCCTTATTCCCCCTGCGTATAATGCTCGTTCAATATTTAAAAAAAATATATACCGACATTTTTCTTTTGCTTATGTCTTCACTGATACATAGCAGATGACACATGTGGATAATGAAGCAATTTTTATGTCGCCTGCAGAGCAGCAATTAGGGATCACTTCACTCGGCGTTTGTCTGTCTGTCCGTCTGTCACACCCTATATATATACATGTGTGGTATTGATTTGATATTTTACACAAATATTGCTTGGCACTACGGCTTTTGTAAATTACCATGGTTACTGACCTCATGATCCTAGACCTTTATTCTTAGATTTATTTACATTTTTAATGAAGCTACAAGCAGGCGAGACATGTTTTTCTTGGAAAGCTCTAGTTTTACGTGTCATTAATTCATCTTTAATTTTTATTCGGCATTAGGCTTGCAATAACATTGTTTATTTTACTTTATTTCTTTCTGTAATTTATCTTAAAAATATAGTAGATTTTATATATTTATCTTATGGGCCATTTACGCTTTCAAGAAAAGTTTGGTTTTTTTAATTCATTTAATTTATCATTTTATCGTGAAAATATTGTTTAAAAGTGTATTTGCTGAGTTCATTTTCTTATTTCAACAAAAGTTACTAAAGATTCTTTGCAATTACCCATACGAAAATGTTAAAATATATCGAAATATTGAAAAAAATCACCGTCATTTCATCTTAGTCTTTTCATGTTAATTTTTTTAATTTATTGGCAAATTGACAATTCAATAATCCTAATGACTTTTTATATAATATTCAGGTAACAAATCTTTATTGATGATTGATATACTTAATGTTTTTTTTTTTAATCTAGCAAAGCAGAAAGATTTTGTCATCATATGGTTTTTCATTTCGATAACTTTACTTTTCCTAGGCAAACCAAAAAAAAAACGCATAGATCATAGTAGCAAACAATTATACCTGCAATTAAGCATATCGCATTGTTAATATAGTTTGAGAGTTCTCATAAAGATTTTCAGTTAACCTTTTATGAGAATCCAACTCTTTATGAAAACTCTCTAACTATATTAACAAAGCAAATCATTATTTCATGAAATACTGAATCTTCATCGGACCTTGTGTAATTTTCCCCCATGGGTAGCCCCTCAACCATGAAAACGCTTTTTGAGCAATTAGATTTGTCGAAAGATAGCGTCTATTTGTAGCATTAATTAACTAAGAAGTACACTTGGTATTTATTCAGTTTCACTCCCAACTCCATTTCACAGTTTGTTAAGGTCTTCCGTTTTCGGCGGAAGACCTTCTTGTTATTCTTCAGTTTTTTGTCCACTATTTTGTTATTCTTAGGTTTCCTTTTCAGTTTTCTTTATCTTACCGATTTTGTGCACGCGATTGTTCAAAAACGGCTGGATGGATTTTCATGAAACTTTCATGACTTATGTATCATCATTTGTATCTTGTGTGTCTTTTCTTAAGACGTCACTTCCGGTCTGAGAAATTGCCGATTTTATGCTTTTTAAAGGGTTGGATTGTCCGGATATTTCTCATTAATGGCTCTAGTTCTTATTGTTTTTTTCTTACCGATATTGTGCAGGCGAATTCTCGAGAATTGCCCAATCGATTTTTACGAAACGTTCAGGTCTGATAGAACATGTGATATAAAAAAGCTCTGCAAATACATTTTGTTTTCTGAATACTACCTGCTTTCTCTTTCCCTCTCTATTTATCATTTCTTCTTTTCATTATTATGAGTGAAGATAGATATATGTATGCTTATTTGATATAAAAGTGAAAGTTGAAATAAAGATTAATTTTAAAAAAAAGTATTCAATCTTAAATGTCTTAAATAGAAGAACAAAAAGCTGAAGCAGAGCAAACACAGACCTCTAAAACATCAGAGGTGGAATCAAATGCCATGGAGGAGTGAGCATCCCCTTTCGACCAGTTACACGCATTGTGTTCTTCTTGTCATTATTGGGCAAATTTTTTTTAGAAAAAATCTAGAAAGATAGGTCTGTAACAACATTTAGATTATCAAAATTTTAAATAAAAATGATTTTTTTACGAAAAAAAAAAGCAAATTATAATTATGTACATTAGAGTTTATTTTAGATTTTGTGGATATATTTAAAAAACCATATAATGAACCTTTGTTACAGCGCACTTTGAAAAATAACGCACTGTGAAAAACAATTTCAAAATGCGTAAAATATGGGACCAAATAAACGCGCTTTGAAAAAAATATAATAACTTTTCAAAGTGCGTTAATATCGACCATTGTATGGCAAAGTTAATATTTTTGCAAATTTTAGGTATGATAAATAATTGAACCTGTTTGATAACTTTTCAGTGATGAGGTCACTACATGATGTAAAAGTGGGCAATTTCAATTTTTTTCACACTTCTAAAATTCTTTCTTTCCTAAATGTTTTAATGTTCTTAATTTTTTCAAGTTTGTATGCATTTGATGTTAACTAAAATTCATTGAAAGTTTTCAACGTTTTACCAGTTACGCAAATAAGTACTTACCTTTGAAGGGTCCCTCTTTCAATTTTCTACCGACGGCTATGTACAATACATGTATTAGTAAAAAAAAGAGTTGGGCTGTGAGTCCTTCTACTCATGTCCTCTTTGTTCCCAATGGAGTTTAAAGAGTACATGTTTTTCGAAAGATATAATTATAACGAATTGATTCTTGCAATTACTTGAATATAAATGTAGAATGTTTTGCTTTGTGTTTTTTTTTTAAACTGCGTTTAATGTCCCCATGGTAAAAATATTGATGTACGCTCTCAACGCACTTTGAATTTTTTTTTTCAAAGTACGTTGAGTGTGTCCCAAATTTTACGCAATTTGGAATTTTTTTCAAAGTAAGTTGTTTTTGTCCCAATTTTAACGCACTTTGAAAACTTTTTTTCAAAGTGCGTTAATTTTGTCCTACATGTAATTTTAACGCAGTTCGAAATTTTTTTTAAGGAGTGTAATTTTTTCAAAGTGCGTTGCAACAACCTTTCTAGCAAAGAAATTTCTGTACATTTTTTTTCTTTCACGCTTTCTATCAATTTTAGTTTGTGAACAAAAAAAAAACAAACAATATGTACATATCTTTCTTTATGCATTATTAACTCCTTATATTTAAAGAAAACTCTAATTCGCATCATCTTCATTTCCTATTTGGCAGATTGAATTTCACCATCGGCTATCAATTGTTGTGATGTGATCAACATACGTGTGATCATTTAGTTTGCAGTTATTCACCTCGAAACCATAAATTTGGTTAACAGTATTCTATCGTTTATGATTTGAGAAAAAAATATTTTTAAAAATATACATTGTGTTTTATTCAGAAATTAATTCTTGCAAGTGTTTTTCTTTTCTCCATGGACAGCTGTTTGAGAAGAATTCAAAGTTGGTGGATAAAGAACAGAATGTTGACCATTATTTTTCTTGCAGGCTATTATGCTGAATTCTTAATCAAAACAGAGTCGGACTTCAGATATCCAGAAACTAGTCTGAAATAAAAAAAAAATTCCACCGTAAAAAAAAATAGGTTGTCCATTGCTAACTTTCGTCTGACTGTAATATATGTTCTAAAAAAGACTGAATTTCTCGTATACCTCGGGCTGGTGCGGAAGTGGGTATTCCTATAAAAGTGAATTTCTTTGTGCTTTCGATATTCATTCTACATTTACATTTCTTCATTAATGTGAGTTTAAGAGCTTTTGTAAAACGTGCTTTTATAAATAAAAAATGATTAATTTTTTAGAACGTGTATTGGTAACAATCCTCTAATCAAACATATGTCCAAAGAATTGTTTCTCAACTCCATTCTCAATAACTATGAAATGTAGGGCAGCGCTGCAAGGATACAATCAGCATCGAAAGCAAATTTGTTGGGCTTTCCTGAAGCATTTTGCAAAAGACGACAAAGACCAAAGGAAATAGGGCAAAGTAATCAAGCTCAAATTTCCATTGAAAAATAAATCGGAAGCAGATCAAAAACGGAAATTCCACGGAAAAGGTGCCATAGAGGAGTAAGCAACCCCTTTCAATCGTTCAAACCCACTTCTATTTATGATCATAACCGCAGATAATCCAGTATTTAAATCATGGCCTAACAATAAATATGAAAATGTCAATCGGCATGCAAATTTATGATAGATTGCATTTGCTGACAATATCATTGTATCCTTTAAGAGGGTTTAAAATTGCACAACTCTGGGGCTTTTGCTTATTTTGGAAGTGTGGAAAAATTTCCATAAGAGAATGATAACTGCACTCATAGAATCCATTCACAGAAGAATGAAAGCTGTGACAGATGTGCAAAAATCTTTTGATGTCTTTTGCCCTACTAAGGTTATGAGACTTTTGAGAACAATTGGAGGGTACTGTCAAATGAGTTTCAGTAACTTGTGAGTTGTTGGTAAAATTGAAATGAGATTTTAGTCAATTGTTGAATAAAGAAGTGCTTAAATGCTATGGGAGATAACGATATTATCCAAGCTCATAAATTCATACAAACCATACAAATCAGAAGCATAATGGGAAAAACTCAATAATTTTACAGCTTTCAATGGTCACCATATGGCCGGGCACTCATAATCAAATTTTACCCGGTTGTCCTGTTAAAAGATGTTTTTTTTTTTATTATCGTTTTGCCTCCTATCTCACTAGCTTAATTAAATGTCAATAACAGCTTTTGTGAAACAAAGGAAACCCTGTCAGTACACGATATTGAACACGGTCGTGAATGTTGAGCAAGATAAAGATTAAACTTATAACCTCGGTCCTGAAGTGACCTATACCTAGATCCATGATGTATGATACTTGAAACCTTGCAAGTGTATACAATTCCTTTGTTTTAATCTTTATTGAAATTTTGACTGCTATACATTGCCTTTATTACTAATCAGTTATATGGTAAGCTACCATCAAATCCAAACATCCACTTTGAGAGCCAAGAAACAGATATCCTTTTCAAAGAAAAAAACCTATTTTGACTTAAGGCTACCAGATACATGCTTACCTTGGCTAGCAGATATGTGCTTACCTTTACATCTTTGATGCGTGTGTATGTAATATGAGGAATGGCATTTGTTTCTTTTACAATTCCGTCTACTATTTCAGGAATCTGAATCAAAAATATATTTCTGTATAAAATGATTTTTTGACAAAATCATTCCAACATGTAATCTAAGTTTAAAACGTGCTTACCCTGTATGTTTTTGTTGAATTAGGTGTAATGTTTCTCTTTTCTAGAAAACTGAATAAAAAGGTAAAACTAGAATTATTATATCAGGTATACAATTATTGTAACAAACAAGCCGGGACTGAATTTTGACTGGAAAAAAGTATGATTACGATGTATAACACTATTCAGAAAAAAATATAGCAATACATGTATTGCTTTTTGAGTCTTGACTGATTTCTCAATACTGTATCTTAATGATGCTTTTATATCATTACGATGTTCAAAAAGGGCAAAAATGTCATTTATTTTTCTATCAAACGTTAATTCTAATACATCAGTCTTGTGTACATTCAAATAAAAGCAAAGGTATTAATTTACTCATTCTATTTAATTCCAAGAATGAAAGATGAGATATGAAGGTATTGAACAGACTTTTTAATCTCGAAATTCCAATGAAACCATACAAATTTGGAGCAGATCAAACACGGACCTCAAAAATTAGAGGTTGAATCAGGTGTCAAGGAGGAATGAGTATCCCCTGTCTACAGATTACATCCACCGAATTAGATGAATTGTCAAAACTTGACTCATTGATAGGTTGTAGTTGCTGACATCATCATTATATCGACCGTAAATTTGTCGATATCCTAGTTTTATCAGCTTGTTTGTCAATAGCTTGCCTCGTTCTGGAATTTTTAATCAGAAACTCAAACATCTTTTTAAAATCATCTTTAGAGTTATACTTCTTTGTACAATCAAAATGTTTTTGACTAAGTAATTTTGCAAACGACTATGCAGCAATATTAAGGCATACTACGTTGATTGATTGATTGATTGATTGATTGTTGTTGTTGTTTTACGTCCCATTTGAGATATTTTCACTCATATGGAGACGTCACCATGCACCGGTGAAGAACTTTAATGTTTTAGACCTTTAATTGGCATTCAGGGACATCGAACAGTGAAAGACTTTGTCGTGCCAACGCTGTCGTGAAACGGGAATTCAGTTTTTAAGATTTTACACGAAGGACCCGCAACTTTCACTTTAAAGTTCCGAGTGTTTGGCGAAGGAACAGTTGCTATCTACTTTGGTCCACTTAAAACGGCCAAAATGCTGGGCCCGATTTAAAGTCTTCAAGAAGGTGGAATTTTCCTCTTCCTTTTTTAATTTGTTTTTTAAATATTCTAATTTTAAGACCATAGGTTGCAAACTATGAAAAGAAAGTATAAGGATTTAATTTCCTTAGTTTTTTCCTTGAGATTTACAGACCTAGTAAGAGGATAACTGTTTGCCAACTCTACAGCCTTTGTAAAGTATTCCGCCAAAGACCTTGTTCCGTTAACATCGGCGCATGTTCCGTGTTTCTTCCATTCATATGACCTGTCAATTTCGAATTTCATTTTTTAATTTCAATTATTATTACTATTGTCAACTTTTGATACCATTTGATTTTTTAATTCTAACGATTTTTATTTAGCCAGTTTAATGTGTCTTATTAAGATTTTATTAACTTTTTAATGAAAATTCTAAACAATTTTATTTTTATTTTCAATAAAATGTTTTATTTTTTACCTAGTTTTTCAGGTTAAGAATGCATAAAACATATTTGAATATCATATTACATATTTATTGATATAAATTTTTAAAATTTAAAAAATATTATTGATTATTTTATTGTTTTTTTTTTATTTCAGTTGACAAGATGTAGAAAAAAATCGGCTATTTTGAAAAAAAACATAGCTTCATGTTTTATTGAAACAAGAGTTGTAATTACCAAAATTTCTTATTCTCATCCTTTGATTTTAGATCTGGCCATATCTCATTCATGGCGCTAGTTATATTCTAAAAACAAATGAAAAAATTAACTTTTTATAGTAACTAGTACTAAGGTCGTCTTTCTTATTGCCTCTTTTCAATTGTATACATCTATGATTGGATATAGAAAATAAACTAACCTCTGGTATATTTTCCTCCTATAACTTTCGTTATGTTTGCAGTCAAACACAAATGGAGGATTAAATGTTGAAGGCCTTAATGTGTAAAAGTAGGTAAAAATAACATTTGAATATAATTTTTGATAGAATTTTAACTGAAAAAAATCTTATTCTCAGATTTAAGTATCAACATCTATCCATGATATTAAAAAGGAAATCTTTAATTGAAATGATTTAATTTGTTGTTCCCAACTCAATATTTCTACATTCTAAATCTTAAATAAACTACATTTGCCAAAGAAATTTCAAAAATTAAATTAAAAATACACAGTGTATTTAGGATATGAGGCTGAACACTTTTTAGTTTTAAACGGAAAATTGTACAAACTTGAAGAAACGTTGAATGCTGATACGAAGTTTTATTATAGTGTGAATTTACTGACACCCAAGCAGTGTTTTAGCCTAACGAAAAGTTAAATGTATATTTCTTTTAAAATATTGAAATAATGATAACAATCATTGCATACCAGAGTCCATGTATAGTCCAGTTGCTGGGCGGTTTTCCTCCTGCACTGTGCAAAATTTTCAAACATGTGTTAAGATAAAGTATTTTAAAAGAGAAAAATATATATATTGCCCTTGTGGGATACTGAATGTATGGTTTATATTAAATTTAACTTACATGTTGAGTTTTAAAAAATGTTACTGGCCATTGAAGCGCCAACATAAAGAGTCAAACTCAACTGCTAACACATGATTGTTATCACTATAAAAGAAAAAAGGCAAATGTGAATAAATACAAAGAAACAAACTCACCTGTTATTGGTTTCAAAAATTAGTTTTTTACAGTTTGATTCTGTTTGATAATTGATCTGAAATCTGAAATTTAAATTTCTCAGTTACTGATAAGTTGAGCAACTTAATAGCGTCCTATTTTTTGTTATTGTTTGCATTCCCTTATATTTTCATTTACTTTCCATTCCTTATGCAATGGTTTAATTGGTGTTGCAACCCTATGTTTTATTATTTTATCGAATCATGAAATTCCATCATAAGACTGTTTCCTTATTCTTTTAAGTACAAACCTGCTAGGCATAACAATAAGCAACATAAACAGGACGAAGGGCATCATGGTCAAATCAAAAACTTGCAATTGTTGAGTAGACCACACAGATGTCTAAGACAATAAAGAGTGTTTGGAATTAGAAATATTTTGATGGAATTATCGCAAAACAGGTACTTGTGAATCAAACAACTGTGTAGATAAAAAGACAATCTAATAATAAAAAGCATTTTATATTTGTTACTTCTTTGTGTTAAGGGGAAATAGAAGGAAGCCGTCGCATTTCTGCATTTCTATTTGGTCGAAATAGATATCTTTTCAGAAAATTCTGGAATTTTTCACTCATCTTGAGACGCCATCACTTACCAGTAAAGAGCTGCAAATCGTGTCCTATGCTCGACATTATACTCTATATTATGCAATTATGGTTTTTCCATGCCAACACCTACTGTGACATCGAACCTCTACTTAGACATCGGACCTATGTTGATACCATCTCATCCGAAGAACCGGTGTCTACATCTGGCAGTAGGATACGAACCCGCGGGGTAAGGATCAACTCCTTACTCCACGACTCTAGAGCCACGCGAGCGACTCAACGAGGTTTAAAAAGTCCCTAATACCAACTTATCTGTCGGCAATATTCCTCGTTCTAGATAATAATTATGATTGTTCTTGAACATGGAATATGTAAGCGCGCTGTGCAATCTAAAGCGGATTATTATCACATTAATAAGAAAAAAAGATGATGGATCATCTTGTTTGTCACAGTATTTAGTGAATTGGCACTTTTCGTCTGTAAACAGTAAAACATCCAAATATGAAAGAATGATTTACTTTTTTTAGTCTGCATGAAAAAAATTCTTATTAGGCTTTTCAGAAACTCTTAGGTTCTATATACTTCAATGATTTTTATTAGTTTTTCGAGGAATTACATGTACAATAATTACAAAAGCAAAGATAAAAAGTAGATGCCTTTGTTATAATTTATATTTCTTTTCACTTTAAAAGAAACCCCCAATAAATTTAATGTACTTACGCTGTTTAAGACCTGCACACTGAAAATTTTAGAGAAAAAACTTCCGTTATCTATAACTGTTTTATACACTGTGTGAAACAAACGGATGTGGACTCATTTTTTGGGGGGTTTTTTTCAGCTTAACGCGTAAAACAAAAATTAATTCAAAATACTTATCGGCATGAGTATGCATTGATCAAAATATATACTCAGTCTAACAATTCTTTCCATGGGGAAAAAAGACTTTCCCTTGAATTAATTAGTTTTTAATTTTTTCAAGAATATAAATTTTTTTTAGATCTGATATATTGTTAAACAAACAGCATCTAACTGTAATGAAGGGTAACATTTGGCATTAATATTTGACAATTAATGTGCATCTATTCATGAGATTTTAAAATTTCTCACTCATATAGAGACGTAACCATATACAGGTGAACGGCTTCAAATTTTTAGACCTTTACTCGGCACTCAGGGACATTGAGCAATGAGGGATCTTTATCCTGCCAACGCCTGCCGTGACACGGGACCTCAGTTTTTAAGGTCTCATCCGAATGACCCGCAACTTTCACTTCAAAGTGCCGAGTGCTTGGCGCAGGAACAGTTGCTATCTATTTTTATCGACTTAGGTCGGTCGAAGCCGTGATTCGAACAAACAATTTTCCGATCACGGAGAAAGCGCTCTACCGACTGATCTTCTCTGACCACCACTTTACTTTACAGACAATGGTGAAGCCAATGTATGTTACGTCACCATTCACCGTAAAAAAAAATGATGACATTACATACATTGTCTTCGAAAGTATTGTATTTGGTTTTCTACGTCATCATAATGTGTTTGACAGTCCACTTTATAGTAAGGGCCTACTCGTGGTAAACCGAAAGCCGGATTTTGGGTTTTAAAATTATGGTACATATAACATTAGCAAAAACGTAACAAAGGTTTATGCTACTTGATGTTTAAATATATAATGTTTATAAACAAAATGAGCACATTTTACAGAGAATGGTATTAAAGGTACTTGGACACAGATTTGAAGTTAATGTTTTCTATATAATATCACGACTTATATATTTAAATAGCATTTCACACAAAAATTAATTTAAAATCTTATTTCATTTAAAAGATATTAAAACTTCAAATTTTTTGGCGGGTTTGATTGACACATCCTTGCACTTTCATAAATTTTAATTTTACTGTTAATACTTAGGAAGAGTGTCAATCATGTTTTGTATTAATGAGAAATACTAAAGCTTTAATCCATTGTCTACAACATACGACCACAGACCTTTTAATTTTCCGTCAGCTTACATTGGTTAGTTCTTATTGTTTTTTGTCGCTCATGTGGTGCAGTGGTTTGAGCGTCTGATCTCTGGATACTTACGTCGCGGGTTCGAATCCCACTGTGGAACGTGTAGACAGATATTTCGGATGAGACCGTATAAAGCTAGGTTCCATGTCGCAGTTGCTGCTGGTATGAAAAAGATCCCTCCCTGCTCTATGGTCACCAGTGCCGAGTATAGGAAAAATTGGTAGCTCTCCATCGGCAAGTCGTGACACATAATTTTAAAGGATTTCAGATCAAAAAGTGATATCTCCTATTTATTCAAACTTATTCGATCACAAACTAATCAGAATTCTTTAATGTGCAGTGTAGAGAATATTCTTTGAAATATTATTCTTCCTACAAGCTGGTTTAAGCTCTCGACAAGTAAGTTTATTTTTTAACTATTTCCCTAAGTTACTACACTGTATGTCACTCCTTTTCTCCTTTTCTTAATAAACCGGTATATATAGTTAAAATGGGATAGTAATATCCCCAATACACATTCAAAGTATGTGGCGATCTACTTCAGGGGCTTACCTCAATAATAGTGATGGCCAGACTCCGTGACTCAATTACATTTTCAGCAGGAAGAAATGACTTAGTAATTCACAAAACCTTCTCTTCCAGTGAATGTATATTTACTATTCTTTGTTTAACTATGAACCAAACTTTAAAAGTTTCATAAGAATATAGATATGCAGCTGTTTAATAAAACAGATGGTCACTCGTTCAAGATTATTTAGATTGAATGGAATATCTGTAATATTTGTTCAATGTCAGAATTAAACACTACACTGTAAGAATAACAAGCGATGCGTTACTAGTTATATAACGAATTAGACTCAAGTCAAATGAGAATTTTTGAAATGTGCACCGGAAATATGACTTTCAAATAATGCAAATTGCAGTTTGATAATTCTAGTGCAACCTGTTGCAGATTATCTTTCAACATTTCATAAGTAAGGTTCTTTAAAAAATTTAGAACACGTTTTGTTGAGCTGTTATACATCATATTCTCTTTCAACCAACCATATATCTGTTATGAATGCCATCATATGTCATACTAGAAGCAAGCAAGAGCAGTAAGTGATAGTTTTGTTATTTGACATATTGTAAATCTCAGTGAACATATTGGACGCTGTCTTTAAAAGGAAGTGTATTTAAAGAACGCAGATAGATGAACGGTAGAGGTTGAGACCATTTCAGTAAACTCTCATCATGGGACAGTACCATTACCATTGTGTACATTCACGTAAGACAGTTTATGTTCTTTCACTGTATGAGAATTTTGTTTCAGTACTTAAGATGGAGTCTATACGATAAATTGCATTATTGACCTTTGATATGATTTTTATTGCAGCATGTCAATGGGTTCAAGTCAATGGTAAAAGTATGTACACTATATATTTATATGAGGAAACATTCAAAAATCATAAATTGCATTGCTTGTATATTACGTCCATAGTCCTGCAAAACAACCACAATTTCTTCGGTATTCCTGCTCAACATTTAAAACTCCACAAAAATAGTTGAGAAGAAAAGATTATAAAATCATTTTATTTCAGGGGAGGCACATTCCTATATGGAACCGCTTGAAAACTCTGGCGAAGGTATATTTCAATAGCATTATTTTCCTGTCCTTTAACACATTTTCTGTAAAATAATAATATTGTGTTTGTCTTAATTCCTATAGATTCCACCCATTCTTATTCCGGCCTCCTCGTCTTTTTTTATATAAACATCTCCTTTGACTCTATGAGCACGTACATTTACTTAAGATGCTGCATTTAAAGTCATTAAAAATAATTTAAAAATAAAATTTTTATTTTAGTGAAATTTGGAGATTAACCCGTATTGTTAATGATATATTTTTTGCAAATTCTATCGCTTATTTGTTGATACATTCAGGTTTATGTTTTGTTTTGTTCAGATATCACTGTCCATCATATCAACTAGATAAATGGTTTACTTTTATTGAAAAAGAAACCTGTACATTCAATTTCAGTCTTAACGATGCACAAGGCCACAAGCTTGTGTTTTGCAATCCTGGCTGTTAAGATGTGTATGGGCAAGAGATTCAACAGAACACCAGAAACTCCAGAGGAGATGAGACTGAGAAGTATATGGGTGGAGGGAGTAGATAAAATTACTGAAAACACGGTCCTACCAGAAAGTTTTGATAAGACGAAAGAAACTGCTGTCGTCATTCATGGATATTTGGTGGACACTACGCTACCAGGAATACAAGATCTAGCTATTGGGTTGAGGAAGGTTAGCTTGATGTAATTACGAGGGTTGTCCCAAAAAGTCGTAGACAGGTAAAACAGTTTTGTTTCTCTTTGCTTCATTGAATTTCTTTCCTTGTCATAGCAAAGAGTAACATTTTATGATCATGCACTTCAAGTTTCATGATGATATCACATCTTATAACAAAATTATGAAAAAATAAAGAAAGAATATAAGTGTAGACCGGCGCACGAAAGCAAGCGTAAATTACGTCTCTTATATAACGTCATGATCTCTTTGTCTGCTTCATGAAGCTGATATTAACATTCAATAATTTTTTTAAGTGATAGTCCACTCTTGATAAAAGGGTATTTGAATTCACTACTGTCCGTTTGTTTTTTTACTTGTTTTTTTTTTAATCAGATTCACATTTCAGTCGAAATTAAGTCGAAAGTTTGCCTTACATTAAAGGCAAAAAAGAATACAGATTGTTTGACGTTCTTCGTGGTTCAGATTTTTCCACATCTTCTGTGTTTATCAAACAGTACTCTTCTTCTTACATGCCGCTATTAACTATTTTCGGTACAAAAGAAAAACTCTCATTGAATATCGTGCGATTTAAAAATAATTTCTTTATTAAAATCTGGTATGAAATGTCACTTCCGTACTCTTTTTTCCCGTCTCCGATGTATATTAACCATATCCAGCACAATTTATTACATCTCTGTGCGCCGACTACACGTTTGACGACGTCATTTTCATCAAACTAAATTTCAACGATACTATGAAGATCATGACACCAATCGTCTGTGTCAAATGATATTTATATGAAATTTTGACATAATATTAAGATTTTTATTCTGGTTTCGGTGATTTAAATTTGAGTTCAATGTATTACACAGTACCTAAGAAATAAAAGCAAATGTAATAGTTATAAGAGTAAATTATTCCGAATTTTGTCCGTGCGCCGACAGGCCTTATCAGCCTTCACATAAATCGTCCTAATATTATAAATATGAAAGATATGTATTTAAAAATTCGCAATTTTAAAGATCATTGACTATATTATGTCTTTGCAAAATTTGGTAAGTATTGGTTGCATGATTAAAAAATTATAAACATTGTCTATGACTTTTTGGGACAACCCTCGTATGTCAGGACTATATGTATATTTTAGGCGATTCGGTTATTATAATAAGCAGTGCGTTTCCTTGTAATCTTTACACAGTACCTTTTCCTTGGGTACATGTACAATGTAAATGAAATCAAGTTCCACTCCTGATTAATTACAGTCTGTCAATGTTAGATATTTCTTTTCAAGGACCACACAATATATAAAGCTAACACATTGAATACAAAATCTGCATCCTCTAATCATTCTGTAGAGAAACCTGAATGTCCTGATGATTGACTGGGCGACAGGGACGAGGGAGGATTACGACCAAGCTGCCTCCAATACCCAGACAGTCGGGGCGTACGTGTACCAAGTTCTGAAACAAAACAGAATTCCTCTGGAAAAGGTTCATATTATTGGGCAAGGTCTCGGTGCACATGCCGCTTCACAGGTTGGAAGACTGTCAAGTGGACAAATTGGCCGTATTACAGGTGAGGGTTAGAATCTCCGCTATAATAAACATTCTTGTCAATTTGCAGGTGCTAAAATATTGATTCATAGTAATGTGGTTCTCGGTGAGTACTATTGTTTAAGCAATTAATGGTAAATGATGTTCAAACACAAGCTAACTAAATAAAATTCTGTGGGTGATAGAATGTATCCTTTTCAGGTCTCGATCCATCCAGTCCTTTGTTTGTAATTTCCGAGTTTGGAATCAACAAAGAATCTGCTCAGTTTGTGGACATTATTCACACGGATGCCCGACAAAACGGTAAGAGGAAAGCTTATTTAATACATCTTTGACACAAAATGCAGAAGGCATTGGTATAAAGATATATGACTTAAACAGCACACTCGATCTTTACTTCAAGAAAAGAGTGACTATTATTATACAATATTCCAAAAATATGCAACTGTTGTATAGCAGCAGATGTTATACTGAATAGTTTCTATTATTTTATAATTCTTAACTTCTTGCAAATTTGATAGATTAACACCATTTCTATATCCTAAAAATACTGAGAATGATTAAGATTTTCATGCTTTTTATCGAAGTGCATTTTGTAAACATTTTTACGTATATAAACTGTATAGTCATTCAACTATACCGGATATATTACAATTGATGTAGGTTATGGAATGAAAAAGGCTTGCGGTGATGTGGATATTTATGTAAATGGAGGGAAACGTCAACCAGGATGTACATTCAGGATCTGAAGAGTAAATCAGAATGTCCTTGATTCTGTGTTTATATACTAACAATATCAAAACATCTCTGAAATGAATAGTGAATACAACACTGGGCACTTGCTACAAATAACTTTTTTTCTTTAAAAAAATCATGAAAATATAAAGGATATAGCGATAAAGTAAATAAGTAAAATACTGTAAAAGCACAAATATTCATGGGTTATTAAATTTCCTTTATTTCGTTCTTAATAATTATCAACGAAAATTTAAATCCCACACAAAATTTTATATAACTATATATTGAATAGGGTTACTTTCAAAACAACGAACTTAATGTCCGCTAAACTATTTTTTATGACAAATCAACGAAATTTTATCCAAACGAAAATTTGTGATTATACCGTTAAGTCTTTTATTCCCATTTTTTTTATTTCAAGATTGATACATAATGTCTTATGCAAAAATTGGAATAGAGATCCGAGAATATTTATAATCTTATGATAGACCAGGGATTCGTATTTGCATCGTTTACAAACAATGAAACAAAATTCCTAACATATGAATTTAATATCCTTTTTTTTGTTAGAAATATTCCAAGATTTCTTTTACAGAAAACATTTAGCAAAATGTTTTTCGCTTGTAGAATATATTTCTAAAGTAAAAGCAAAAAAGCAATCTTAAAAGACACAATCAAAGATATAATCCAACCTTTCTTTTAGATGCAACGTTTGAAAAAGCTTGTGGACACTTGAAGGCAATTGGATACTACGTGGAGTCTATTTTTGACAACTGCAAGCTTAGAGCCTGTGAGTGTACCTTCCAGAAATTCCTTCAGTCGCAATGTAGCTGGACTAAGTGTGTTTTCTGGGGTTTCAACGCCACGAAGAATGTCACGGGACAGTATTACGTCCCGGACTGTAGAGTTAACGGAACTGAATAAAATGTATTTCTGTGACAATAAAATTTTGCTTTGCACATGCATACCTTTTTTTCTATTCTTTTTTATTATTATCTGCTGGTTGATTATCCTCTTTAAGTACATAGTGAGAGTATGTTGAAAATCAGAACAAACTACTTCTATACAAGAGTAAAACTTGACATTTAGATTGAAACCTTTTTTTCATAAAGACATCATGAATTCATTCAAAAAAAATTTAATAATAATTTTAATTAACAATCTACAGCAAAGCTCGTTTAGTACGAACACGGATTTTGCGAATTTACGGATGTAGCGAAGTCTTCTAGCTTGGATCCCCAGCTTTATAAATTTAATGAATTTCATGAACAGTTATAACGAATTATGGATGTAACGAAGTAATTTCATAGGTCTCAGTGACTTTGTTATAACCGAGTTTTACTGTAGTAATATTTAATAAAACGTAGGGTGTGAACTCCTTTATATTCTAGTCATTAAAGACTTTTTGCCATATTTGATATGAGCAGAAAAATAATAATTATTTTATGAGAAGGATTTACATTCCAGGGGAACATTTTTTTTTAGAAACTGCGAGAATAATTTCAATCCAAGATACTGGATTGTGTAATCTGAGGGAACAAAGTGATAATCTGTGAGATCAAATACACTAACCAAGTGCATAGTTATGATGAGCAAGAATGCCTCCTCCAATTTTTTAAGTTTATGGCCCCAGGGTCAGGGGTTCTGATATTAGGGTGAGGTTCTATTGATTATATAGTGAAAATACATTAAATCTTTGAACATTTTCTTCTCTGCTCCTAGGTATTAAAAAAAACTGACTAAGTGCATAGTTATGATGAGCAAGAATAACACTTCCAAAATTAATTACACCTGTTTTAGGAGTTCTGGTGTTAGGACAGTATTCTGTTGATTGTATATTGAAAATACATTAAATCTTTGAAAATTTTCTTCGCTGCTCATAGTAATAAGAAAATGAACTACCTATAGAGTTATGATGAGTAAGGGGCATAATTTTCCAGAATTGTGAAATTCAATGCCTCAGGGTCAGGGGTATCATATAGGGGGGCTGTGCTTTTACACTGAAAATTGTTTGAAATCTGCTCCTTGATATTTATCAAATATTTTTTTGAAAACAGGGATGCCTTTTCAAAAAAAATGCAATGTGTGGATCTAGGCCTAAGGATCGGGGGTTCGTGTATCATGTGTATGGTAGAGGAATTACTGATTATTGCGGAATATAACTGATTAGTTGAAATGCAATTTTGTTCCCCTACCCTGCCTATGGTTATTAAGTAACCAAACTAAGCAACAGCTAAGTGTATGGTTATAGTAATCAATGGTTCCTCTTTCAAAATTGTGAATTCCATAGCACCTGGCTTAAAACATGAATCAAATTCAATCAATGGAAAGTTGTTGCATAATGCTCAGGTGATTTATAAAACCCATGGGTCTCTTGCTGAAATATTAGTAATATTTTCCAAGTCCTTTCATTTTCCAGTTCTTTGGAGAAAAAATTCTAAGAATTTTCCACTTATCTGAACTCGTGACATGATATTAAGTATCCCCCAAAGAAAAAAAAATGTTTGTATCAACTGTCTTAAAATAGATTAGTGCAATGAAAGTCCTTTTGATGAAAAAATAGAAATTCAGTAAATTACATAAATTACGTTATTCCACGATAAATGAACAAAATGTGTTTGTGAAACACTGATGACCCCCCCCCCCCCTTTATGGTAATATAGCGAAGATTAAACTTTTCTTAAATGTAAATTAAATATATTAATACCAAAAGTAGGATATTCTTGCGAAATACAAAATACGAAATAAGGCCAAGGCTAAAGGTATTCCATAAGTACAGAAATCTAGAGGTCAGAATGATAGAGGTCAAAGGGTCACAATTGTTGGTATGCGCAGGGGGAATATGGAAGCATACAAAATATTCTTCCTTGGTTAAATCAGTGCTGCATTATGACGTCATAGTAGGCAAGATGACGTCAATTTTAGAAATCAGGTTTTCATAATATTTGTATTTAGCGATGGTAATTTATTAAACTAAATTTTCTTCAAAAAGTCTAAATTTCCCGAGAAATTACTTATATGCTTCCTTAACATACCCGCGTGCAATGAAAGGTCGTTCCACAAAGAATACATACTAGTATGTGAAATATGAAGACCTTACCCTTCAAAAGTTATGATCCAGGAATATTTTTTTTCAAACTCCAAGGTCAAAGGTTTTGCTATCAAATGAAAGGTCCTGTCACAAGGATTAAATATTTAAAGTATGAAAGCAGTAACCCTAAACCTTTCAAAGTTATGGTGAAGAATTTTTAAAAGTAGGTCCTTTTTCAAGATCAAAGGGTCAAAGTTTTTGGTATCCAATGAAGGATAATCTCACAAGGATTACATGTGTGAAGTATGAAATCACTTTACCTTACCATTCAAAAGTTATGGCCAAGGTCAAAGTTTTTTAGGTAATGGTATGGAAATATCAAAGGTCAAAGGAACAAAGTTCCTAGTATTCATTAAAGGTCTTTCCACAAAGAAGCATCCACAAGTCATTTTTTATATTTTGATATTTACCACATGTATTATATACTGTCTTAAAGCATATGGAGAGTAGAAAAAGAAAATAAAACATTTTTGTTTTTTATTCATAAGTTGTTACTAAAAATAGACTACTAAAAAGTATTGCTTGCGCTTTTTTGTGTGACCATTTTGTTTTTCAGAGTAAATATTAGATGCAAGAAAAATCCCATTTTGTGAGTGCAGAAAGGTCAAATAATTGATTATGCGTAGGAATTTGAAACTTTTTCTTCGTCAAAATTTAAAGTGTCTATTTTAAAATAGACTTATAGTTTATTTTGTACCATGCTTTATTTGGATAAAAATATTACAGGGAAAACATTGAAGATGTAATTATTTATTAAGACATAGATTTCAGTGCAAAAAGGTCAGATTTAATGTACTGTAGCTCCAAAAGAAGCATATTGACCACCATATTCTGATTTGATTTTTAATTAAGCTATGCGTGGAGAAACAAAAAATAGACTTGAAAAAAAAATTTCAGACTTTAAATAGCAGGATCGAAAGTCTTTAACATGCTTTAGGTTATTAGTACACAAATTCAAAAGATGAGAAACTTCCTTAGTATAATCTTGAAATATCAGTACATAAACAAAACCATGCCGGAAGAGGAATTACCAACATCCACTTATATATCATATCTCTCGAACAATGTGAATTAAACATGTATTATTGGAATTAAAAAAAAACGTTTCTCTCATAAATTTTTAACCGACGACTTGACAGAGAAGACAAATACAATGCTGTGCACTACTTGCAAAAAAACTGCTTGTGTGATGTTTCTATTGTTCTGTTGGTTCAATTTGGTATGTGGAATCTCTGGGTGTGTCAAAGCATATGCTTATAAAGCATTATATCAACCAGCATATGTACATGCTCTCTGGGTAAAGTTAAATATAGAGATTTCGAATGGTATTCAATCCCAGAGAACCATTGACATGAAACAAATCGGGGCCAAGGGAAACACGGACATCTAAATATGAGGGATGGAATCTGGATGCTTCTGAGGGGTACCCCTCCCCTCCCCTGCTTACTAATTAAACCTAGCTTTTTGTGACCAGAAGACATTATGTGAACAAGAAGGATGGCCCAGTAACAGCATTTGAATTATCAAAGGGGCCTGAACACATTTTCAGCCAAAAATTACATACCATTTTTAATGTTTACCAACACTTATCTAAAGTATTTCTAATGATCCGCATTTTTTTTAATTCCATTTCAGTCAAGTTTCAAGACCAGATTTAGAACTCGAGGCCTTTGTTGAAATGCTGAAATGTGTTTGTCAAAACAATTTTTTTCAATAAAGAAGTTATTAGAGAAATTAGACATTTTCTAATGAATTGCTGAATCTAGTTTTGTTCAAAACATATCTTCAAGTGCTGGCAACGAGTAAACCGTCGAACGCTGCGAGTATCGGTTAGTAAAACTGCAATCCGGTTACTCTATGAAAAAAATATACATAGTAAATGCATATAAAATGATTGTTTTATAGTTTATAAATTATATACTTACACATTTCGTTAATTTTAGGTACCGTTTGACTTGTTCTAATTCATGCTTGTGGTGGATCAAATTGTTTTGATTAGTTTACACAGTTTATATAATTAATAGCTTTGATGGCTTGCGGTATACAACTTTTGAAGGTCTGGGTTATGATTACCTCATTTGATAATTCAACATAACGAGATGCCGCCTCGGAAAAATTAAGCTTGAAATGTAACTGTAAGAAAGAACAGTTGATTTACATTCTCAACAAATTAACTATTAATTACGGAGTATGTACTAGATAATTATATTTTCCTTGATAGCGACATATTTCGGGGACTGAAAAGTAAAGCACAAGAAAAGGAATTGTGAGACAGTGATTGACGATGTCTTTATTTGTTTTCTTCGTGTGTCAAATTTCTTATTTTCTTTAATCTAAAATCAAAATTCGTTCACAATATTGCCTGTGTGTATTTTAAATATAATGTCCATAACAGTATATTTGTGTATTACTACTACCGATAAGTAAAGCATAAGATGAATAAAAGATCGATGTGGATACTTTTACGAAAAATTATCCAATAACCGGCTACTCGATCGGAAGATGAAGCGAGTAACCAGTTACTAAAAATCGTCCAATTTGCCAATACTAATATTTTCTAAATGTTAACAAAAACAAGGCATGATCCTTGTTATCAGTAAGAACAATTTTCAGTCCTGTACATGTATATCTTTTGTTAATCAATGATCATTAAAATTTCATTAAATCAGTTAAAACTGTTCTCATGCCCCTTTAATATGCTGTACTTTTGAATGTACATATGAATGTACTTTGAAAAAAATAAACAGACAAACAGAACGAACCACAAGTTTATTTTATTAATTCTTTTTGATTCAATTTTAGATGGCACATTTTTACCACAGAGTATAAATGATCTATACAGACACATGTACTGAAACCCAAAAACATTTGCTTACCATTAATAAAAAAAATGCATGTCAACAAATTCAAGGGTTTTCAGGAACTGTTGGCTGTTCATTTATTAAGCTGATATGCAGCAATATTCCCAAAGATTGTTTCTGGAAGGTAGACTCAATTTTTTCAGGTAATGATATGAAAATTATTCAACCGTATAATTATCAATATTAGCAAAGTTGAATTTCAAATTACTTTTTAAATACAAAAACAAATCTTATACATAATTTCCCTTGAAATGGGACGTTGCGTCTGTTTCGTAGTTTTGCATTTCAGTATATTAGCAGAATATATTATGTCCCAATCTCACCAAAAAAAGCTTTAAACTTTATTACATATTGTCTAATCTATTACATAATCAATAACATCGGAGCATATATGTAAAAAGCAGACTATCAGTAAAAAAAAACACTATGTAGGTATGATTACAAATGCATGCAGTTTTAACACAGGCACCTGAAGTATGGATCATACACCCCTCCCTCCGTTTTTAATGGAAAAAATGTAAGAGATATTTAAACTATATAATGATTAACCAATCAGATAAGGCTAAACAGAAAAGCGAATCCAAAACCTCCTCCAAAGCTGCCAGTGGAGAACATAAAATGTACCCAATTGATACAGCGTTCGATTACGGCATATCTAATGTTAATAGCGGGGTTTAGGTTAAAGAGACCAGTAAAAGAACACCTCCCAGACAGAGTGCTTGCAAAGTATGATAGGGAATCCACCGTTTGTTCACAGCTTTTGTTTCATATACCTTGTGTATTTTCATTACACAGAATAGGGCTATTCTTTAAACTTAAGAAAAAGAACATTCTGCTTGCATATAACGACATATAGATTGTGTTTGACGGGAGATTATATATTTTTGAGGTATTATGCATTCTTACATTTTGTTATTTAAAAAAAGGGGGAGGGGGATTTTCCATTCTTCAGATTTTGGCATGGCATATCGAAATGTTTTGACGTTATATTTACATTGCTAATAACATGACGTCACAGACTCGCGATTCCTTGAACGCTCCGCTCACTGAATACATTGATTGGTTTAAATTACTAATAAATATTCATGAGGGAGTAGTCCCTGGGAGTAGCTCTGATTTTTCAGGAAGTAGTCCTCAGATGAGTAAAATTGTCTCTTCTCGGGACAGTGGTTGGAAATTAGCTCTTCAGAGCTGATGTTCATTGTTGATATACCCGACTTTAAATAAATACCAGGTATTATTTTATCTATCTTATCTAGACAGTTTTATGGTATTAATTTGATATAGAGTGATTACAAAAGAGGTATAATAATATTATATAATACATGAATTTCGAAAGGAATTCGTAAAATTAAGTATTATAATTCAATTCTGTAACATTTATTTGCTTCTTGAAAATCCTTTTAATTCTTGCAATTTTTTTTGTTTCCTCCCTTTACATGTTTTGGAGATGACGGTGGTGGATAAAGAACGCGACCTTTACCATTATTTTTGTTGCAGTTAATTATGTTGAATGTCTTATCCAAACAAAGGCGGACTTCAAATATCCAGTTTCTAATCTGCAATAGAAAAATACATCAACATGAAACAAAAAGATATCTAGAGCTAATTGTTGCAGGGCTGCTATACATGTTAAACAAATAACTAAAATTTAACATCATTATGTCCATTTGCAATAAGCTTCAATTCAATTGGTGATCCCTTATTGTTTATCTTATACATGGATGTACATCATACTTTTTTGGAATATATAAGTGAAAAAAATAATGCCAATGTAACAGTCCTCGGGGGACAACTCTATCCTACCCAAATGACTTGATAATTGGGGATGGGTCCCTTCTAAGCAGTCCACAATTGTATATCAATTTATTACAAATTTGGAGATGGGTGAATATGACGAGAGATTAGCCCATAGTGCAACAAACATGAAGGTGAAAAAATAAAATCTCAATTTTATCAAAATTTTCCCTAATATTTCATCTAACATTAGAGTATACTTTATGTAAAATCTCTACAACTTGCACGAATCTAGTGAAAATTGAAGTTTTTTGCCTATGAAATATGATACACGCACGAAAGAGGACAAAACGAGTCATTTTTTCACACTATAACACTATTTTTCGTTATTAGTGGGTCTTCTCTCCATTTTTTTGAAAGGTAACCCTCAAAGTTTGCATAGAAACTTACATATTTTGGTTTCCAAAATTATGGAGCAATGGCCCACTATACCTAAAAAATATAAGTTTACTAGATAATTACCCGCGCAAGCGCGGGAAATTGAATTTATACATAGAACTTTACCATTTACAACATAAAATTATATATTGTAGTTAGAAGTTGTAGATTTTACTGACAGATTACAGACTTACAGAGGGAAGAAATACTTTGTTCAAAAGTCCGCATGAAAGAAATATTAATGTACGTCACTATTCCCACCCACTCTTTGTGAAAACTTTGAATAATAAAAAATGCTTTAATTGACGTTTATGTCTTCAACATGTTCAAAACTTCATACAATGTTATGGATATTGTACTTCAAATGTTCTTATTTCATTTTCGTGAAGGCTAAAAGCAACGAATATACATAATATACAAATAAATTGATTTAGGGGAGTTGGGGAGTTGATGTACCCTTATTGATACCTAAAAAGGCTGCCCCCCCCCCCCCCCCCCGCTTTTTTCCTACCAATACTTTTACTATTGGAAATGTTCAGTGAAAGGCTGGTTGCCCCCACCCTCACCCCCTTATACTACAGGAAATTCATATAAGGAAAATGTAGTGTTGAATACCAAAAACTTTGTTCTGAAAGAAATTGGCATTGGAGGAAGACTTTTTTTAGAGAGAAAAAAGCTGAAATGTCTTTATGAAAGCACAAAACTTTATAGCTGTAATTAAATGTATTTGAACAAAACCTTATTCATAAGTTTTCTCTTTTATTGAACGCAATTAAGTTGATTACAAATTGTACGTCGGGTTCGTTACCACGATGCTCTCAGTACGGAAAATAGTTTTTATCGATAAACTAAGAAGAAAAAGATATATGTACACTACATATCTATTTTGGTCTTTCGATGTATGTATTTCCTGTATTCGAAATATTTTCATTTGTCATTTACTCGTCCTCAACTTATGTTACCTCGCTGTCGGCTTGTCATGATTTCAAATCGAATACACATTGAATCCCACGATTGCTTACCATGTACCATTTGTCTGCTAATATAATCCTTGTATCAATAAATATTAGTGTTTTTTTCCCGGCAAGAATATGTTTCTGATAAATTCCAAGCATATTTTGCTCGTTTTTACAAAACAATTGTTTTTATTGTATTCTAATTTTTATAACATCATTTGTTGAAAAACTATTTAATCAATTAACCCGTTAATTACAATATTTATAATTATTTCTTGATTAAAACAATGTAGCAAAAGGGACGCGATGTTCTAGAAGCTTCCGTCAATATTGAGATCGATGATTGACGAAAATAATTTACACTTTTCGCTTTTTAATTGGTTATCGCAACTTGTTTCTTTTATATCAATCAAATCAAGTTTTGATTGAATAATTCAGTGATGACATTTTATGAAATAAACAATAGATTGTTTGTTGTCAGTTTCATTAAAATTTGTCAGTAGCTTAGATCCGCCAACCGGAAACGCCACAATTCTCACGTTGATGCTATTTCATGGCTGTTTTCAGAAAATTGAAGTAGACTTTTAATTTTATGTACGATACTTACTATCCGAGTGAAATCTGAATATAGTTTACGGACATCATCTTGTATGTAGTGTAGTATTAGAGTGGTAAGTTAGAACTCTTGTGCACCCGTTTCGGAGTTTATTTGCAAAATTTATTAATTTATAAGTATAGATGACATAACTTTCGTATCTTTTTAAAAAATACTTGAAGTCCCTTAAGTCAATGGTCATACCACAAACAAGATTTAAATGCCACACCTCATCAGGACTTGTGTAGCGTAGTGGTTAGCGCGATAGTCTCAATACAAAGTGCAACCTAAGATTTTTATTGCCAGGGTTCGAACCCAATGGATACCACATTATTTTTCTTGATAAAAGAATAAATTTTAACCAAATATTTTCCTCAGAACTTTTTGTTTATCGTGATTTTACAAAAATCAATGATGACAACTTTTACTCTAAATACTAAAATAACAATTTGAATATGATTTTTATATATCTGAAGCTTGTGGGTTTTTTGCACGCTAAGTTCACCCATCTCCTTTACCCCTTTAACACGTGGATATAGCTCATATGAGATCATTTTAATATCTCACACTCCAGTCAAGTTTTGACGTCACAATGGTTTTTGTGTCAGCATGATGAGGTAAAATGTAGCATAGTACGATATAAAACAGTGTAAAATATCGGTTGTGAAGTATTAAACATGAATTGGATAAAAGAATCTCCCATGATGTGTATTTGGAAATGGTTTTTATCCAAGGCTGGGGTATGAAAATCACACAACTCGTTGGATAAAAACCATATCCAAATACAAACCATAGGAGATCCTATTTACGAGGGTTGTCCCAAAAATTCGTAGACAGTGAAAACAGTTTAGTTTCTCTTTGCTTAATCAAATTACTTTACTTGTCATAGCAAAACGTAACATTTTATGATCATACATTTCAAGTTTCATGATGATATCACATCTAATAAGATATTTATGTAAAAATCATAGAAGAATGTAAGTGTACATCGGCGCAAGAAAGCAAGCGTAAATTAAAAACGTCTCTTATAAAGTCATGATCTCTTTGTCTGCTTCACTTGCATGCAAACTCAGGTACTTGTGGACAGGACCCCCCCCCCCCCCCCTGTTATATATGCCCCTGGTCAAAATATTTTTATTTCGTTTGATGTCATGATTTGAACATATTTTTGTTGATTATACTACACAAATGGGATTGGGCAAAAGTTCTAAAAACTTATTACGCCCGCTCCCTAATGCTTTTATGTCATGAATTATGTTTATAATACTTATCTACAACGTATTCCATATGAAAAATCCAGAAAATAACATAGATTTAACAATTTATTTAAAAAGTCGTACCCTGGCATTATGAAATATAGATGGTTAGTCATTTCGGTTTGATAATTCGGACCCGTCTTGAATATCGGGCCTAAGATATCATATACCTACTACCTGACCAGTGGTGTATATAAGGGGAGGGGATCCTGTCCACAAGTTCTTGTGCTCGCGTGTACTACAGTGTAACATTCAATATTTTTTAAGTGCATGATAGACCAATCCTGACAAAGGGACTTCTTTAAATTCACTGCTCTCTGTTATTTTATCTGTTTTTAAGCAGATAAAAAATTCAGTCGAAATTTAGTCGAAAGATCGCCTACCCTTTTGGGCAGCAGAGAATACACATTGTTTGACGTCGTTTGCAGTCCAGATTGTTCCCATTTGTCTGCGTTTAACAAAAAGTATATATATATATATATATATATATATATATATATATATATATATATATATATATATATATATATATATATATATATATATATATATATACATATATATATATATATATATACGTGGGTTGTCCCAAAATTCCGTAGACTGAGCTCATATCTTTTAAAGAAATCAATGTATCTTTATCAAATTTTCAGGGTAGATAAAGCGTGTTCTTGGCAGATAGATTACGAAGTTCGATCATGTTTACTTGAACACTTTTTGAGTAATAACATATAAAGTGATATCGTTTTCTAACACCCGGAGCAATCTGCAATGTCAAAAAATACAAATGTCAATGGTTCAAATTTTTGGAGAAAATATTTCACCCCATTACCAGAATCAAATTATTAACTTAACCGAAACGGTTATAGTTATAAATGTGAAATATCTTAATAACTATAATATGATCAAACATTAAAATATGTAAACAAAGTATATGCAAGTACAGGTATGAAATAATAATAATTTGAAAACGCTACATTTCTACGGGCTTTTCGTCTGTTTTCTCTGATGGAGTTGCACATTGGAATTTTTGCCCATTTCTTAACCTTGTCTTTTATTTTAGTTACTGTTACATGTATTTAAAAAGAGAAGCCGTTTTAGTCATTTTAAGTACAATGGAAAAGAAGGTTTCCTGGTCTACCAAATAATTATGACTGGTACATTTCTGTAAGAGTGAATTCAGGATCTAAACACTTGATCATAGTCAAATGCACCGCCTGTGCTAACGCAGCCGCCATTTTTCAAAAAGTCGTATTTCAACCCGATGTATATAAATCGTTATAAAATTCTTATTTATCAAAGCATCTTTACCCAAATTTGTGGAAATATAGTTAATAAAGAATTATTAAGAATTTTTAGTTCCATTTAAAAGATACAGTGTAGTAATTACTTTTCCTTAGGATTTTAAATATAAAATACCAAATTTTAATTGAAACTTTTGGGTATTGCCCCGTCCTCCTACACCCAACAACGAAATGTGTCTTTTAAAATGGAAAAAATTGTGTAGTTACACCTTATTTGTCTATAAATTTATTTGATAGCGTTGGTTTAATCTATATACCAAGTTTGATTAATGTATGACATAGGGTTCCTACAAAACAACGCTTGTCTACGGAATTTTGGGACAACCCTCGTATATGCGAACATTTTTCAGAATTTTGTCCGTGCTCCGACAGACCTCATTAGCCTTCATATAAATCGTCCTTATTTTATAAAAATGAAAGATAATATATATTTAAAAATTCACAATATTAAAGAACATTGAATGCATTATGTCTATCCAAAATTTGGTTAATATTGGTTGCATGTTTAAAAAGTTCTGATCATTGTCTACGATTTTGAGGGCAACTCTTGTATACCTTACTTTCACTCTCAACCTCGAGATACACCAAGCATACAAACCTACATAACACTCCAGGAGAAAAATTCTATTACTGAGAGGTTTACAGATATGTGCTTATATACCTTTCCATCTGTCTCTAAGCGTTCGTAAAGTATTTGAGGTTTTCTTTTCGTTTCCAAAAAAATAGCGTCTTCTATAGCAGGAATCTTCAAAAATAATATTTGTCTTAAAGAATTTGACAGGAAATTAAGAAACATATTTTAAAATATTGCCTTTTTAGTCGAAAACATGCTTACCGTATAAGTTGTTGTTGCGTTGGGTGTTATGTTACTGTTTTCTAGAAAACTAATAAAAAGATAATGTTGTGTTTATAAAATTCTTCTCATTATAAGCAAATATCGAGAACGAATCTTTTCCATGTTTAAAAAAATACACATGTTTAGCAATACATTTGTGTACATTCAAATTAAAGCAAAATTATTTAACTGTCACTGTTTACATTTGTGGTGTATACTATTACTGTTCTTGAACACTTTCATGGTAAATCAATCCTTTATGGTGTCCAAATAGGGCCATTAGAAAAGTGTATTAGCGCGTTAGAAACAACACGCAAGTGCATTAATGTCAATGCGCTAGCGTGTTAATGTCAACACGCTAGTGCGTAAATGACAGAGTTTTGTGCTTGCGCACAGTTATATTGTGCACAACGAGCTAGTGCGTTGTCATTACTAGCGTATTGTCATTTACGCGCTAGTGCGATGACAATAATGTGCTTGCCTATTGTATTCCAACAACACGCGACCGCATTTATGACAACGCACTAGCGCGTAAATGACGATACCCTATTGTTGAAATATAACATTCTTATATTGTTGCATTCTTGTATTGTTGTATTGTATTATTGTTATCTTGTATTGTTGCACTAGCGCGTTGTTTACAGCACGACTTTGCACTAACACACAACCCGTTGTCATGAACGCGCTAGTGCGTTGTTCACAACATGACTTCGCGCTAACACACAACTCGTGTCATTAACATGTTAGCGCGTTGACATTTACGCTCTAGCGCATTAGCATTGATGCGTTTGCGTGTTGTTTCTTACGCGCTAATACACCTTTGCAATGGTCCTATTGGAACACCATTATCCTTGGAATGACTTGGAATGTTGTTACTATTTTTGGTATGCGTTAACTGCTATTTACACTATAACTAATTTCTTGTTGAACTGCTTGAGCAACCCTGATGTGGCTATTACTTTGTTTCGTAGTCTTTATTTACCCAATATTTAGAGTGCGTAAATCCACTATATAAGTCTTTCAATGTTATTTTCTGTTATTTTTTCACATTATCTGTGTGTATTTCATAAAGTTCCAATTTAGACAAGTTTTTGATTTAAAAGTTCAAAACATTTTCATAAGTATGGCATGTCGAATTAGTGACTAATTTGTAATAACTTTTTTTTTCTATTTGAATTCTATACCTGTTCAAATTGTTTGTACTTTATTTCTGAGCTTTTATTTGTATTTTGTGTTTTATGTGATGTTTTTCTTACCACATACTCACTCGTGCATATATTATACGCATGCACGCGTTCTGTGTATACAGAACCCACACATTAAAGAACAATAAAACTTGTCCATGCATTGCGTTAAACTTCGTGTGACCTTAACTTACTTTCATGCAATACAGTGTTGCCTATCTGGTTAGCAATCTGCCTGCAGTAGTTAGAATGATAGTATTTTGTAGCTAGATCAAAAACAATGATTTTTTGTCTTCCCTTTTTTGAAAGTTTTTTTTCCTTAATTAGACCGCAATATGCAGATTATAAACCGATATTTTTAATTTTTTAGCATTGTTCCTGAGATTTTCTTACCTAGATATACTATATCTGTGTGCCAAATCTACAGCCTTTGTAAAGTATCCCGCCAAAGACCTTGTGCCATCAACATCAGCGCATGTTCCGTGTTTCCTCCATTCGTCTGACCTGTCAATAAGTATTCTTTTTTAATATCAATCATTATTAATATTGTCTACATTTTTTTCACCATTTAAAAGGTTTATTCAAAGAGGGAAAAATAATTGATGCTTGAAAAATTAACTAAACCCATTTATAATAACTCAATAAGATTTAATTCTAACCATTATTAAGGTCTTTCGTCTCCAGCGGAAGACCCTACCATTATTTTATTGTTTCTTTTTCACTTTTATTATTTTTTTCTTTACAATTTTAGCGCAGAAGATTTTATGGGATGATTCGACCGACTTGTGTAAAAATTGCGGAGAAGGTGTATCTTTATCTAAACCTTTTTTTATTTTCTTAAAATTTACTTCCATTCGGAAGTTATCGCCCTTTGATCGAAATTTTGATGTCCTCCATGTCAAGGTAGAAAGCTGATTTTTTCAGGAATGATAGAGGGCATTTTGCCATATTGCAACATTGTCAGGAAATTTTCCGGAAGTGCCTACTATAGAAACCTCGGTAGGGGGTCAAAATTTAGGACACAAATCATGACTGAAATTTTGAGAAATTTTGCATGATATCTTTTATATTATAATTATTTTGTTATAAAATATTGAGCAATATATGGGCAGAATGACAAGATCTTCAAATGATATCAAGAAAAAAGTGCTGACTCGTCACATTAGGGGCAGAGAGGGGCCAAAAGTCTTCAATCGATAATTCTTTAGCCAGCAATATTTTGTTATACATTACTGAAGCAACAATGTTTATCTCAACAATCTACAGTTATATATTATGATTTTTAGTGTTGTACGTTACATAACAAAGGGCCATAAGCGGCCAAAATTCTAAATCTTTGACGCTTTATATCTCAAAAGCGGGGAATATTTTGATAAGTAAAATTGAACAAAACATGTTCAAAATCATGTTCTGAATAATATGCAGCCTTTCATTTCTAGCTAAACGTCCCCATTAAGGAATTGAAGGGCTGGCCCCTAAATATTTTTTTTGCAAATAAATCAAAAACGAAAAAGAATCTTTGATTAGTTCTTGAACAAAAAGTGTTCAAAATCCTAAGAGCTTTAAGAAGATGGATATGGAAATAACGAACAGTATTCAATCTCAACGTCCATTAAACAAATATACAAAATAAGAGCAGAGCAAACACGGACCTCCGAAACATCAGAGGTGGGATCAGGTGCCATGGAGGAGTGAGCATCCCCTGCCGACCGGTCACACCCGCCGTGTGCTCGTTGTCATAATCAGGAAATAACGGAAAAAATCCGTGGTCAATTCAGTGTATAAATAATGGACTAACAATTGGTATGAAAAACGTCAGTCAGCATTTCATTCAATGATAAATTGTATTTGCTGACAAGGTCATTGTATCGACCATAGAATTTACGAAATGATGACTTTAAACGAGACTGTTGATATTCGTGTTTCATCAACTTGCTAGTCAATAATTTACCTCGTTTAAGAAATTGTTCATACGTAGAGCATGCTCTAGCGTATCGAATCAACTGAGATATAAATACTCTGTATGCAGGTGATGAAGGTATATTGCTGCATAAGAAGGATATGGAAATAACGAACAGTATTCAATCTCAACGTCCATTAAACAAATATACAAAATAAGAGCAGAGCAAACACGGACCCCCGAAACATCAGAGGTGGGATCAGGTGCCATAAAGGAGTGAGCATCCCCTGCTGACCGGTCACATCCGCCGTGTGCTCATTGTCATAATCAGGATATAACGGAAAAAATCCGTGGTCAATTCAGTGTATAAATAATGGACTAACAAGTAAGGGAACTTGACGATAGAAAAGTTAAAGTCATCACGTTTATCATATAGCTTGGTTGTTAGATTACCATTTGTGTCTTTTTCAAGTAAAATATCCAAGTATGAAGCAGAAGTGTCGGACTTATGATGAAAACAGGACTGATCCCTAATATTAGTTGCCGTGAGTGGCCAAATGACGATTTTCAAAGTCTTAAATGTTCAATGACTTTTTACAGATTATGTAAAATTATTATTTTAGATTGAAAATATCTATCAAAATCTTATCTCATCTCATCAAGAATCAGACGGAAGACCACTCGTTGCTCGTAACGAGATTGAATCTTTTATTTTCATTCTTAGCTTCATTAAACTGCCTTCTTTTAGGGCTATAACAGGCGTTTATCAACTTCAATCTATGTTTGAAAATGTTTGTTTCCAACTTTTATTAATAAAATGAGTAAAAATGATCGGCTTTTTTTAATACAGATAGCTTTTCAGCTATTGCAAAATAGAACTTGAAAGTATGTGAACAATTACCAAAAATTTCTGTTGCCATTCTTTGACGTAAGATCTGGCCAGATGTCATTCATTAAGGCTTTAGTATTCTGGAAACAAGTTAATAATGCAAGATTATCGGTAGTGATATTTAATAATATTTCTTATTGCTTTTATTCAAATTAATTAATAGAAAATACAAAAAGAACTAACCTCTGGGATATTTTTCTCCTGAAAACTTTCGTTATGTTCGCAATAAATCACATTTGATGGCCTTAAAATTTAAGAATATTTGAATAAACAGTTTTTTGGGGTTTAAGTCTAAGATAAAAATTCTTATTTTAAGGTTTGATTATCCTCAGGTACATCTGTGATTATTAGAATTAAATATTTATTTCATATGGTTTAGATTATACCGTATATTATGTTTATTTCTAAAATAAGATATCCTAGCCAATGATTTTCAGAAACTTTTTAAAAAGACACTTTATGAAGGATTTAATAATGAATATGTTTTGGCTATAAAACAAAATAAACTGTGCTAACTTCATGAATTGAAGTGTTGGTCAATTATATTTGCACTCAAGTAGTGTTCAAGCCCAGTGGAGTGTTAAATACTTATTGGATTATTTTTTATTTGATGAATTGATAAAGATCATTATTGCATACCAAAGTCCATGTATAGTCCACTTATTAGGCGGTTCTTTGGCGCACTATGTAAAAAAATGAAAAAAAAAGTTCAATTTAAATGTCGTCAAAACATTTCTTTAATACATATTTTGTTTTTAAATTGACTTACATTTTTAATTCTGCAAAATGTTACAGGCCATTGAAGTACCAAAATAAAGAAATCAAACTCAACTGCCATCACTTGATTGCAGGCACTGTATAAAAGAAATCATATTATGCTTTTTATGAATAAAAACAATTGAAAAAAATCCATCTGTTGTTGGTTTCCGTTATTAATTTATTTCATAATTGTTAATTATCTGATTTCTTTAATTCATTTTACATAAATATTTGAAGCACCTTTATAGTGTCAGGTTAATTCATTATCATTTTTATCATTTTGAATTCGCTATGCATGCATTCAATTGTGTTGTTTCTCTGCGTTTCACTACCTCGTCAGATTTAAAAAAAATCACTTTCAATCGATTCCTTACTTGTTTCAGTACATGTACTTACCTGCTTATTATAATAATTATGATATAGATGAAAGGAATCATGATTCAATCAACCACGACTTATCCCTGAGTTGACTGTGCAGATGTCGAAGACAATATCAATGGAAGGTATTGGCAACTATAATAGTTCGTTCACTTGAAACAATTTGATAATCAGAAAGACCTTATAATAAGAAGAAGCAGAGTAAAAAAATATGTTCCCTAACTTGGTTTGGGGAACATAATTAAAATGAAAGAACCTCCCTTCAAACAAATTAGTATTCACTACTTGGTCAAAAATAAAAGTGTATTTTTTTATCAAAATTATTTTATTCCTCGACACTAAACAGAATTAAACAGAAAATCTTAACCTTACCCTTCAGCACTTGTGAAGTTATATTAAATTTACCATGAAGTTACTATGAAATCATTCCCACAGAAGAAGACAGAAATATATTTTTTATGGTTTATAATTGTGAAATTTACTTAAAAAAAGAAAGCCATCGATAATAAAATACTTACCCTTAGAAAAGCCTGAGTAAATCTGAAATGAAAATACACAACTTCCGTAATTTATAACTGCTTAATATACACTGTACAATCGTTGAGTCATTGTATTGTTTTTCCAACGCGGAATACGAATATTCATACACACTTAAGGTCAAGATCTAGTAAAAGGAAGGTGCTTACAGATTTTTCAAATTTAAGAAATGTATTCCTTTAATGATGCTTTATAATATTAGCTTGGTCAAAATAGATGTTTGGGGGCATAATTTGTAGAAAAACAAGATGAACCCCATATTTTAAACTTTCATTTTCAATGAAAAATTAATAAAACCAGTATTGAAAATGGGCGATTTTTTATTTCAGGCAAAAAAATGTATGCAGATTGCCTAAAGTTTTTCAGGAAACGGTTATTTGTATTATCTTAGTCTCTACTTTAAAATAATGTCAAATTTAAGATAGGTATCGGGACTTCTTTTCATGTGATTTCAAATTGAATTCCATGGAAATACTTTATTTTATACATAATTCTATTAGAGCCGTAAAGTACGGGAAAAAGAAAGTTGAGAGTGATTTTGACGTCATAATGGATTCAGCACTGAAAAGTTATTCTAAAGTCATTTACTAGATTTTGACCTTAAGTGATTTTAAGCAATGGCATCTGAATATGAGTACTTTAAATATAAAACAAAAGTAAGCGGGTTTGGTATTTTTTAAAAGTTTAACAATAAAGATAAAGAAAGTTCTGATATATTATTAATTTAAGTTCAAAACATAATGCATCAAATTCATCCCATAGGTAAATGAATGACAGAATGTTTTAACAGAACCCTTTTTGATATTCTTGGTACTTTAGAATCGCATCAGAAAAAGAAATGGAAAGCATTTGTTACGACTCTTGTGCATTCATATACTTTGACACGACATGAACGTACTGGAGAGACTCCATATTTTCTCATGTTTGAGAAACATCCTAGACAACCCTGATCTGGCATTTGATATCAAAGAGAAGAAATATGGACACTTATACAATTATCTAAAGAACCTAAGGGAGAAAATAAGAGAGGCATTTAAGATTGCAACAGCGGAGAAAGCAAGACAGAAACAAAAGAAGGGGTATGACTTATAATTAAGATCTAAAGCATACATACAGGTAGGAGATTTTTGTTAAGATAGTTTCTTTGACGGAAAGCATAAGATAGAAGACATATGGGAGGAGGAACCTTATATACCAGTCAAAATTGCTAACGCACTATCAAAGGAAGTAATATTTTACTTTTCAAAACTTGTTTAATTAAAATGTAATTGATACATTATTATGTAGCAAAATAAAAAAAATAAAGCATTTAAATGTCTTAATTGATAAATAACTACATAATGGTTACTGAAGAATGACTATTTCATAGAAATCATGAAAAGCAAGTCTATTCTAATTTTGACGGAGAAATTTCAGATTTTTTTCTTTGCATTTTTGTTTTTTATGTCTTTATGTTTGTACAAATTAGAAAATTGGAAAAAACTATTTTGTATGCATTATTTGATCCCAGAAACGTAAGAATATGTTGGTTCTTTTACTGCTGATATCATAAAACATAAAATTCAATCGTGATTAAATCATGTTTTTATATCTGATAACCAAATGACGGGGACATCATTTTTTCAACAGGAGAAGTTCGTGGTAACGGGTTATTGGTTGCATTTTAAAGTGTAAATAAATTGAATTTAAAATAATTTAATAAACAATCTAAGTGTAATAAATAATTAAATAAATATAAATTTTAAATTGAATTCCATTTGATAATAACATTTTCTACACTTACTTACATTCAGCCATAAGACAGATTGCTAGCTTGTCTGATACATTATGTTGATTATAATTATTTGGGAATGGAAATAAGCCTGGTTTCAGTCAGATATGGTTTGGAACAATTTGATGAGACACCCATATATATTTTGGACAGCCGGCTAGGCCAACAACAAGGGTTGATATCCACCTATATTTACATCTTACACAAATTAAAAGAACTCCGATCAACGCGAACTGCGTTCCGTCTCATTATTTGGGAAAACCCGGTTACACGTCAACCAACAAATTTGTGATTGCATGGAACATCATCGAGGAAGCAGATGGGTATAGGGTCCCGTACAGCCCCAAATAGAAGCACACAGACTACACCTTTTAATGCACGACATGTATGGCTCAGCATTATGTCGATATGGCCCGATGCCTGCAAAGCTAGCCTCGAGCTATGGGACAAATAGCTTCATTGCCTTGTGGGAAGGGCTTAAAAAAGTAAAAAACTATGAAAAAAGATCCAGCTAAAACTTCCGTGTAGATGAGCACAAATTCAATCAGAGGAACAAAATTATCTAAGGGAAAAATCATTCTTAAAGAAAACCACCGGTCTTCCTAGTTCAGGTTTATGATCAGCAAATCCTAACATGTTAAATCATGCAGCAACGAAACCTTAATCAGAAAGCAAATGTAAGAAGGATTAAAAAAATTCAGAGCAATGATAGTATAACAAGTAAATTTCCCACCCCGTGTCATTTAAACAAAAATAACATGTAGAGTGCTTTTCTGGAAGGTTTGCACCCTCTACCAAGCAAGAAAAAAGTTTATAAAAACCATTTTATATACAATAAAAAATTTCTTGTTGAGATGATTGTGCATAATTTTTGATATATTTTGTATGAAATATCTTGATACATATGCATATATTCTATGTAAGTATGCTTGTATAGGAAGGAATAAAATACGTGTATTAATTTTTGTATTTATAGTAAAGAAGTTTTATTTCGTAAAAACGTTTTCTATTGAAGGAACACCAGTTAAAATCTATATTTAGAATTAAGGTTGATATGAATGATAACCAAGCATTGACATTTTCTATGAAGAAAAAACTTCCGGGAAGAACGTCTCTCTAAGGGGAGGTTTCCTCTGATTCATGTGTTGTCTTTGTATGCATACTCTGTATACAGAGGCAAGTTAAACTCGAATCTAAAGTATTTATAAGTTGCATAATTGACATCAAAAAGGTATTCCGTGAAGAATTGCTAGAAAGAAAATTTAAAGAAAAAATAAATAATAAGGGGTGTAACAGTAAATTCCTATTTTCCAACCCTTTAACTTACATGTAATTTCGTTGATAATGCATAGCCTCTATGGAGTGGAGAAAGCCACAGAGGGCTACAGAGTGGACATAAGGACATGAGGACTGTAATACAATTCTTTAGATACTACCAGTAATTACCATTTAGTTTTTAGTAGGGGGAATTCCATTTTGTTTAAAAACTTATTTTTCACTATCATTAATGAATAGGTGTATAATTTTTGGTTTATTAAAAGCCTTAAAAAAGCGTAATTTGCATACCTTCAAGATGAGTTTTAATTTTACAAAATTGTTTTAAAAAATGTTCTTCCCAAGTCAGTGTCTGATGAAATTCACTGTTAAGTATGGGGATAAAAAAATGAAAACCAATATCTCATCTAGAAAGATTACCTATCTATCAGATGTAATAACACATTTTAATTGCATGCACAATCAAGTTCTCTGAGAGTGACATCAAAAGATGCTTAAAAGAGTGGGGACCAAATCTATTAAATATTTATTTGAATCCTCATGTGTACTGATTGTGATCCGTTATTAGCAGACCTATGTTTGTATTCATATGAAGCTGAATTAGAGCGAAAATGTTTGCGTGAAAAGAATAAAAAAAACTTGTTGTGCCCTTTCACTCGACATTTAGATATATCGACGACGTATTGTCAATTAACAAAGGTAATTTCAATTTCTCTGTCGATACGATATATCCTGGTGAGTTTGACATAAAAGATACCACAGACACTTCTATTTCATACTTGGATATTTTACTTGATAAAGATGTTATTGGTAATCTAACAACCAAGCTATATGATAAACGTGATGACTTAAACTTTTCTATCGTCAATTTCCCTTACTTATGCAGCAATATACCTCCATCACCTGCATACGGAATGTATATATATCTCAGTTGATTCAATGAGCAAGAGAATGCTCTACGTATGAACAGTATTTAAAAAGAGGTAAATTACTGTCAAGCAAAATGATAAAAATGAATATCAGCAGTCTCGTTTAAATTTTGTACAATGTAAGTTCAATGGTCGATGCAATTACAATTTATCATTGAGTCAAATGCTGACTGACGTTTTTCATACTAATTGTTAGTCGTTTGTTTATACAATTTGAATTGACAACGGATTTATCTATGAAGAATAAAACAACATAAAAAGGAAATCAAACAAGAATAAACATAAAATGAACAAAAAATATATGCATATGAAAAATAAAGTTTATAGAATAAAAAGTATGAATATATGTACACAAATTGCATTTCTGTAGTTTTAAATAGTTGTAGTTGGAATACCACCTACATGTATGTATGTAGATGCTTAGGATACAATGGGTAAATTTTGAGATAATATATTTTTTAAAAGTTTTTAAACCCAAACAAACAATTTTCAAGAAAGTAAGCTGCTGAGTGATCCATAGAACAAATTTGAGCAACAATCACTAACTCATGACTCCAGTATTAAATATACACACAAAAGGATTAGATGATTCTAAACATGTAAGAATTGTGAGAGTGATAATGGTAAGAAGATTTGAAATTATCAAGTCAGTATTAAGGATGATGTTTACTCAGGTTTGAGAAATCAGAGAGGAAATTTTATAAAGTATAATATATTAAATCAAAAATTGTTCTAAATCGATAAAATAAGTTTTATCTCAATATCAATTTAAAAATTTAGTATGTAAGTATTTGAAGAAAATATACAGAAACAAAACTCAATATATATCTATGCAGAGGAAATTTGGACTAAAACTTTACTTTTTCGTTTTTGTCGAATTTTTTATATAATATTAATCACAAAGTAAATGTTACATGTATTTTAAGACATCATTTTGCGAATTTTATATATGTTTAAACTCATAAATTATTTCAAATAGAAAAATGCTGTGAAAAAAGAAATTCAAAAACATGAACAAAAACCACTGCAGTCAACATATCTCAATAATTTGATAATACA